ACGCATAAGAGAGATATTTGGGATTGTTTACAAAAGTTCAAAAGTAAGTCGTATTTGGCCACTTCCTTGAGGCCTTCTACATTCCAGGTACCTATTCGAATAGGGGTTACCAGTAGGGAGCGGCAACGATAGAGCTGAATCAGTGGAGCGGGCTTGATTATAGGACGAGATTGTAGAATTGCGTTGCACTAGTGATAGCCGTTTAACTAGTCGAGTTTGCGTAGTCGGCTTTAGGTGGATCGGGGGTGGACTGTCGTTGCCGTGCACCTTCAGGGCAACGTCCCGGTAGTGTGCTCTCCACTGTCGGTAATCCTGGCGTCGAGCGCGGCGGCTCGCTTGCCAGTGATCATATCTTCTCTCGATCGCTGCCTGCGATCTATATCCTCTATGAGATCCCCCGTGAGCTCCGCGGCGTTGGTAGCCGCTTGGCTTTAACGGCGCTCTAGATGCCGTTACTGGACCGCAAGCTGGATCATAACGTAAGTGTGGATAACGTAAGTGGTCGTCCGTCGTCTTGTCGGGGCCCGAGTAGGGCCCAGAATTCGAGTGCTGGCCATACCGCGCGGAGCGTATTGTTGTATTGCTAGTAATAGGTCCAATCTGAGTCTTATATTGTCGTATAAGAGGCCAGCGGCTTCCCGGCTCGCCTGTCTTGGAGGCCACCGCTCTCAGGACGTGCCCGTATAAGGTTTTAGAGTCGCTGCGCGTCGTCTCCAGTTCAAAATAATATCCTCTTCTAGCGGCGTGTAGCCAGAGGGAATCTTTACCGTAAAAGGCATATCTGAAAACTGTCATACCATTAGGCAGATAAAAGGAGTCTCTCCATAGAGAGCTGTGCGGCTTGGGCTTTGCCGCAGGATAAGTAATGTTACCGTTAAGGGCGTGCATTACCTTATTTAAGCCACCAGCAAAACCTGAAAAACTCACTCGTTCGGTGCTGAGCGGAGCTGTCGTAGGGTAAGACGTGGGGTGAAACGAGTGCAGAGGTCTCCTGAGCACTGAAAAACCCCAAAAAACCCTAGCCCGGAGGCGTGCACTCTGGAAAAGGTGAAACCCGAAAGCTAGTGGTGAGAAAGCACGTGCTGCCCTCATTGCGCTCACTGCCTTGGTAGCCCCCTCACAGTGTCCTAAGTTGCTACGACTACGGTCTAAGGTGAAACTGGTGCCCCTATGGGCGTAACGTAAGTGATTTGTATCGTAAGTTGTCGTCTGTCGTACCGTCGTCTGGTGCCTTTCCTGCACCGGGATAACGTAAGTCTTGGTAATGTAAGTGATCGTCGTCGATGGGGTTCTTAGGTTGGCGCCGGGAGGGGGTTCTGGATTTGGGTGTATGTTAAGGAGTCGAAGTCTTTGCAGTAGCTGGCGCTTGTTGGGTATGATTGGAGCCGTGGGTGGGATCAGCGGAATGCACCTGGGCGGCAGAGATAGTCAGGGAGTTAGCCATTGGGCTTTCCAAGGGTAGGGTCCTTTACGGTAATGGAGTTGCATCACTAGCCACACTTGGGTAACGATGAGTGCGTGATCACCTCGTTCCATCAGTAAAAGAGACAATGCTTCCATACTATTGCCTTTGTTATTCCAGTGCCTTTCTAACAAGTGAGATTTGTTAGAACCTATTTCCGACATATCTGGGGCTCTAGCGACTATGAGGTCGTATAAGGTGCCTAGAGGATCATTGGGTGCCGGTAGATCATGCTTCTTTGTTGTCTGTAATTTGTGGATAGCTCCTACTTGGAAGTATAGGGTATCAAAAAAGCAACTGCCTGCGCCGGCTAGCTTCTTAAGAGGTTCTGTAGTGTAGGGGGCGGAGCCCTGAAAAACAGCTTCAAGACTGGGGCCCTCTTCTAGGGCTTGGAGGTAAAGGTCCGCAAACTGGTCGGTAAGATATTCATCTGGATCTGAGAGGAGAGAGAAAGCTAGTTGCTCGATAGCTTCCTGGGACCATACCAAATCAATATTGAATGTGCACAATGCGAAGGCATAGGAGCGGCGAATGCCGAAGGCCAGGGGATGAAATCTAGGGTGAGCAAGGAGTCGTATGTAATTTCAAGCTCCGGTTGCATATTGGGATCAGGGAGGTCTGTGTTTGATATAATTTCTGCCGATAGGGCTTCATATGCACAATGAACCGATAAAAGGAGATAACTGATTTGTTGGATATTGCAAGCTTCAATTTCGTAATCGAGGTTGTGGAACCAAGGGTCCGGTTTGCGAAAGAATTTATCGTGGGGCATGGAGAACTCTGCTTGTACTTTGGGCCACGGGAGCGATCTTAAGGGGTCTTGGGGTCGGGGCAAATAACTGAAGTGAACCATTCTGTAAAGGCGTCGGGCAGGGAGTAACGATAGTTGATGCTCTTTAGGGAGTGTGCCAAAGCGTCTACAAAGTAGTCCGGGTGTTCTACCATTGCGTGGAGCATTGTACGTTCATAGCCTAAGTACAGAGCGTGCCTTACAGGATTAAGAGCCTCACCTAGCAGCCCATTGAGTCCATGCAATACATCCTGCACAGTCTCCGGTTCCAAAGATGGTTTTACTTGCTTGACATTCTCGGGTTTTTTGGCCTACTGTAAGAGGGCATCTGAAACCTTTCGTGATAGGTTGCGCAAATGGAACTAGATGCGAGTATCTATTCGAGTCTGTTAGCCTGTGTAGATGATTGAGACCGTCGGCTCCTGCACAATGTGAGCAATCCGAATTTGTCCCAAGAAGGCACATACATCCCGGACAAGGAGTTAAAATTGCCGAGCCGCTGGAGTAATCCAACCCCCTGCGGGGCTGTTGTTGCCAAGGGTCTTGAGTGTTCGTCCACGGGTCAACTGCTTCCTGGGGTTCGGAGCGCCATTGTCTATTGCTTTGGTAATCGGACGTGTTGCGCCAGGAGGATTGTTGGGAATATTTACCTTTTGTACCTTTATCCTGTTGCTTTCCTTTACCCTTGTTGTGCTTACCTTTGCCACCACCTTTGTCGGAGGATTTGCTTCTACCTGTCTTACCGTATGAAGAGTAATCTAGACCTTGGTCTTGCATTGCCTGATGGACAATAGGTTGAATACCGCTCATACTGGAAAGTAAGTGGGCAGGGTTCTGGGACAGTGTCCTGAGGAGTTCGGCTGTTAGCTCAAGTGGGTATATCTCGTACGGAAAATACTGTACTGCTTGTTGGGGGGAGACATTAGAGAGGTCTTGGGTCTGTGAATAGTGAAATCGGAGTGGGGTGGTGCTGTGTCTTGCTGCAGTTTGGTAGGCTTGTAGGAAGCGTAATGTAGAGCACATTCTTTCTTGAAACATGCGTGGGAAAACATCTAAAACATGAGTCCTACGTTGGGGCTGAATTGCTATGTTACAAACCTGAGTGTCCCCCGTGGGGATGTATCAGACCATCGCAACTAGTTCCTCTGAATCGGGCCGAAATAACTGAAGTGAATTGTAATCTATTCTTAAGTACTGGTCAATCAAAGGAGCACCATCTGCCGTCACAGCCTTCGTTAGAGCATCCGTGAGTGCATATAATGGTTGGCGCTCCAGCCACTCAGTTAAGGAGACGTCGCGTTCAACTTTTATCGGGGTGTCAGGAGGATGAGAATAACTCTTCGGGTCGCGGTTTCGAAAGTAGCGCTTAGATTGTAAAAACTGCTTAGCCATATCTTCTGTAAGGAATACAACTCTGATAAAGCTATATAGTAGAACTAGTAAGGAGGTGATTGGAGATCGACTGCACATCTGTTTTGTCTAGCTGCGCTATGTTAAGGAGACACCACATGTTATCGTCAATTGTTTTCTTGTTGCAGAAGGGAGGAACCTGGTGTATCAAGATGGTTCTTTTGTGCATCTCGGATTCTACTGAGGACAAACTAGTTTTAAGTAGAGTGTTCTTTTTTTCTAGGGATCTAATTTGGGGGGTGAGGGTGCTTACCACATGATCCTGTAGCTGAGCAATTGCTGGGGAGACAAAAGTAGCGTGGTACTCCTCAAAGGCTTGCTTAATGTTGTCCTTATTGATTTCGGGAGCTTGGGTGGAGCTTGTGGCTGCAGGGGGGGAGGTACATCAGTAGGCATGGAGAACTGTCCTAAGTTTGGGTCCAGTCGAGCCTCTTTCCTAGGTCGCCCTGTGGCCATGAATAGCTGATACTTAAAAGGATCTGATTGGAGTTCCCGCACTAATTGCGGGTCCATATCTCCCCAAGAAGGAGGTTCGTCTTCTTCTGTTTTGGCAAGGGAAGGAGGGCTAGGAGGCTGTCATACATGGGCTTTGTGATAAGTTGCTGATCTGCTGGGGAACAGAGCATATATACTTCATTCTCAAACTCCTTAAGGGAGAGACCTGGGCCTAAAAAGTGCTCTTGGATTAGATTAAGAGACTTAAGAGCTTCCGTAGGTTCTGGTGCCGCCGTCTGTTGCGAAATACCAGGAGGAGCTGTTGGTGAGTCAGTGGGCGACGGGGTGGCCATGGCGTCCGCGGGCGCTGGCGCCGTTGCCATGGCTAACGTAAGTTCCACCTAACTTAAGTAAAATCAAAACTGTGGAGCCCTAAGCGCAAATAAAGCTGCGTAACCCCTAGGGCTGTATAGAATTGTAATAAAACGCTAAGCGCAGAGCGCCGCTTGGGAAAAGTGTGTGCGCTAAGCGCTACGCGCCCTAAAGGCGAATGCCACGATGGCGTGAAGCTGTGATACCCCTTGGGCTGTGAAAGTGTGTGACATAGACGCATGTCATGTTTGCGCAGAGCGCTGTGGCTCGCTACGCCCGGATTTCCGGGCGGGGGCTTCCCCGGGCTGGGGACGTCCTGCTGCTCGAGCCTTGCAATCCCTATGGCGGTCCTAAAAGTGCTTGCACCCTCTGCATCAAGCAGCTTACTCCCCGACACCTTGAGGATGTCTTTCGAACATGGAACAGCTGAAGTCTTGCGCTCATGCAACCCAAGCACCTCGCACATCTTGTGGATCAAATCACTCTGTGCTTGAACAATCACGCCACTCTCGGTAACGCGATGTGTGCGCTTCAAGAAACTGACACTCTCTCCTTCCTCAGAGGCGATTGTCCTGAGCATTCAAAATCCTTCTCAAGTGCTGGCACAAAGTGTTTGAGCAAGAACGATCGCTTGCCCACAATGAACAAATCGTCCACATGAAGAAGGCAGTTCTGCCCGTCAATCGAAATCAGTGCTGGGCAGGCTTTCACCTCAAACTTGGTACGCAAGTAGTTGATCAGACGCTCTCTCCAGCGCAAAGCCCCGTCCCGCTGTTCCGGGATGCACATCTCAAAATCATACTCAAACTGATCACTGTAATCACGGGGCATGGATGCTCGGACCTTCTCAGCCTGCGGCACCGTCAAGTATGCATCCTTGACATCAAGCGTAAGCATCGATGGTTTGTCGTCACCAGCACCAGACTCATTCTTCATCCGAGCAAACAGCCACGGCAACAGCTTCGACACGGCAGTGTTGCTGGCAGGACTGAAAATGTCAAGGCGGTCGGCCTCTAGCCATTTGTATTCCCGTGCACATAATCTTGACCGTCTCAACACCATTTCAACACCGCCTTTAACCTTCTTGCGCCATGTCCTCACGAATTTCGTTGACAAGCGCTTGAAACCTTCTTCTAACACCTCACCTCGCAACCCGGCACACTTGAGAACTCGCTTGCGAATCAACCTTTGCACCTCAAACCTATCTGCAATGGCGTCAACCTTGGCTTGTTCGTCAGGACTCAAGGTGGGCTCTTCAGGAAACCACAGTTGGGCCTCCAAAGCCTTCAGTTCATCATCAGACAAAATCCCACGCATGTTCAACCGTGTTTGCCTTCTGGCCTACACTGAGACCACCGTCTGCTGCTACATCATCACACTTGGAAGAAAAGTCCAAATCATCCCACTCGCTAGGCACTTCAAGTTCTTCATCATTCACAGCCAAGTGCTCATTTGCAACACGGCGTAGCCTAGCAGTTTTAAAAGGACTTTCCTCCCCGCCGCCACCTGTCCCCGCCGACCTCTTAGGCAAGAATACCTCAAGCATTGCTTCATCTGGCACTCGGGGCAGTGGCGACTCATGCGGTGCTTGAGCACTCACTGACGAAGGCATGGCACCTGGGGTCGCAGCACTCGGTGTCACTGCCGTTCGATAGCCACGGGAAAGCAACAAAGTGGCACGCTTAGAAGCTGGCGCAGGTCCTGGCGCCTCATCTGCAGTAGGGGCCATCAGCCCTGCAAGATCACCAATCCACCGGCCTCAGCATGCAGAGGGATGCTCGGAAGCGGCAACGGCAACTCAGGTGCCGAGACATCGACCACAGCTGCCTGCTCGGCCGGATTTGGCGCTCGGATCCTCCCTTGCGGCATCGTCTTCAAACCAAGTGAACCTAACTGGAAATTCCATGGTGCACCTGCAATCGCCTCGGCCAATGTTTTCTGCGTGGACCAGGCGCACGGATTTGGATAGCATGATTCCTGAGGGAGTCCCAACGACAAACATATCATTGACACTACTCTTGGTGAGAAACACTGCTTGCACCCACTTGGGGTTTCCTTTGGGGGAATTGGCTGTCCTGATGTAGGCGAAAATCGTTCGCATAAGGAACCAACTTCCCTCGATAGCGACATCCTGTCATGCGCTCGTACAAGGTCAAGCCACCTTTGACTTTGAACCTAGTGTATGTTCAAGATGTGCGCAAAGCTCCAGGCGAAAATCGGATGGGACACCGGGATCCCATAGCGGTGCCTCGCTGCATCAAGGAAAACGTTGGCCAATGAACGGATGATATCTACGGCCTTCTCAGCAAGTCCATTCGCCTGATGGGCTCCTATCGGAGGATTCCAAATCCTAGTGCGAAACCCAAGCCTTTTCCGAGCATTCATGGCTAGGCCTTGGAGTTGGCGCATACACGGTTCCTGATCGCACCTAAGCCCAATTTCAAAGAATGTTCCAACAGTTGGCAAAACCAAAGTTCAACCGCGGCATGTTTCATGCTTGCAGCACTCTTGTCAGCCAACGGTATTGCAGCAATGGCATCTGTGTGATTGCAATGCATAATGAGGCACGTAAGCTTGCTCTCTGTCACCCCTACGGTCATCGGAGCCACTCCAGCTTGCCTGTCGGATCATACGTGTAGAATAAATCGGAAGGCACTGCGCCATGTTGATCAGGAACACACTTCATTGCGATGCAGTGCGGGCACCAGCTGACATAAGATTTCGTAAAGTAGCGGACCTTCCCACTAGAAGGCTCAGGCAGAAACTGCATGCGCGGCTTCCGTGCATCATCACCTTCGGCCTGTCGGGCCACCTCGACTTCTGAAGAAATTCGTTCTTTCTGCACACATCCTTGCTCCATTTACTGTGATCACTGAATCTTGCTCTGCATGCACCACTGAACCCGGCTCCGTGTCGGAAGTGGCACAGGTGCCACGGCTTCATGTTCCGGTGGATCGTACTGACCTGGCACTTTGGGCATCTGTTCATCGTCTTCTAAATCAGCCTGCAATCCGCTGTCGTTCACACGCTCAGACAGTCCAGACTCGAGCTCAACACCGAAGTCACCTGGCTCTTCTTGGTTCATGCTGAGCACAGTGATGCAGTCGCACAGACCGCATGGAAGCAAAGCAACGGGATCCTTGAGCTCCAGCCACTCAACACCACTCAATTTGCCAACCTGCACCGGAATACACCAAATGTGCCTGTCAGTTCTTCCCCGCCATACACAATGGCCTGTCTAAAGTGCCAGCCGAATGCAGCGTTGATTTTTTTTTGGCTTGCTTGGGCCTCGTCGACTACGGCTGTAGCACTCGGTCCCTACAAACGAACAAACCACCAAACACAAACAAAACAGCGGTGAAACAGGGAACCTAATTGGAGAAAGCGGAGCTAGCTGCGGTGCCCAGGCTTTGCCGGGGTTAACCGTTCAGCATATGCTACGGGTCCTCAGCGATCGTTCAACAACAACAGAGGGCCGTCGCCCAAAGTTGTCCAAGACCGTCAGTGGAGCTCAAACCAAGGCTCCGGCCGCCGTTCTAGTTCCGTCGAACAACGGTCGACCCCGAGGTCTTGTTGTGTCCCGATCGTGCACGCCAAAATCCACAAGTCCAAAGTCCAGGCCATCGGTAGTGGAAAGACCCGTTGACGTATGTCGAAAGGTTGGACCTTGAGCTTTCATGAGTCCAGGTGCCGTCGAAAGACCTCGAGGTCTTGTTGTGTCCCGATCGTACACGCCAAATCCACAGGTCCAAAGTCCAGGCCATCGGCAGTGGAAAGACCCGTCGACGTATGTCGAAAGGTTGGACCTTGAACATTGCATGAGTCCAAGGTCACTGGACACTCTCCTAAGCAGGGGGCCATTCATCAAGCTTACGCTGCATGTCGTTGCCACTTGTTGGAAAATGGGATTCCCGCAGTAGGTATAGCAATTGAAATTGGCCCGCATCATACAAAGTTCTGAGGCGGTGAAAACCGTACTGGAGGGTGTCCAGGTCCGGTTCATGGAGGTGTGGCATAAGATCGTTGGAAATGAACGGGATTTGGATGCCCGGGCCAAGTCCGCCCTGCTCGATGAAAGCACGGGCCGCTGCACGCCACTCGTCTTGCCCCCGCGTGTGTCCGAGACGAAACCACGGTTGGTTACCGTCGGGCAGAACCCCCTGATTAGCTTCCTGTGCCACTAAGTGATTGATCAGAACTTGAGCCCGAACGTCCCGTGGTCCCGTGCATCGAAGTGGGCAAGGCGCCACAGGCGGGGAAGTAGAAGTCCATTTTCCGAGGGCCGCGTAGCCAGAACACAACAACGGCACTGAGCTCCCAACCCCGGGTGGTGGCCGCCGTGCGGAGGCGACACAATGCGGCGTGCAAAAGTCCAGCAGACTGGAGGGGAAGGGCGGGCTGCGCCCGCAATCCCAGGGAGGCATCATCAAGAGGAAGCAGGAGGCGAAACGCGCCCTTACAGAGTCCGGGGTAGGAAAACATCTGCGGATCAAAATCTCCGCGTCGGGCAGGGAGAAGTCCACGATGAAAGCCTTCCATCATGCGGGCAGCAATCGCGATTTGGGGTTGGCCAACCAGAGAGGTCGGGACCTCCGCCTTGACTCGGAGCTCGACAAACTGCAGGCCATTAAGCTCGACTGGCGCAACACGTACAAGCTGCAAGTAGGGAGCCGCCTCAGGCTCATCGGTCAGAGCCCTGGCTAGATAGAAAACGAGCTGCACAGGGAGCAAAACACCACAGTGGAGGAGTGGCGTGCCTTGCTGCGGATCTGCCTGTCGCCGCGGGTCGCCGGGCATTGGAGCCTGTGCCGCGGCGGCGTCTGCCGGCCTCGGCGGGATCTCTCCGAGGTGCGAGAGACATTTGGATGAGGCTACCATCGCGAACAGGCGACTTGATACCCGCTTTGGCATTAGGGAGCGAGAAACGGAGTCCATCTAGTTCGTCCAATAACAACCACCACCATATCTCCGGACGCGCTAACTCATACCACGAAAGATCAAAGACTCGACCTTCTGGCAGCCGTAGCACCGGGTCACAGAACTGAGCAAGGGCAATGGAAACTGCCAAAATGGGTGTGAGGCACACTCGAAACGCCTCACTGGGCGTGCAGTGTCGTAGCATGAGTGCTCGATCGGCAAAGTCCACCACGCGCGCGCCGAAATTCTGAGGGCTAATCTTCACCTCACATGCTGGCAGCGAGAGGGGGAGCGATAGGAGGGAGAGGCAATCATCTCTGCAGGGGAGAAGTTCCCGAAGAGTCGTTGCACAAGCAGGGCCCTCGATGAGCTGCTGTCGTTTGCCCGTGGCCTGAAAGGCGCGCAGGATTGCATGTTGTTCGCCGAAGTCGTCCTCATCCTCAGGTGGAACACTCTTACTGGGGATTGCCTCTACCCCTGGCACCAGACGGTCAGGCGGGATGTCGACAGCATCGAGCAAAGTAGCCACACGCTGGCTCCATGCCGTGTCGGGCCTTGGGGACGGAAGCGGCGCAACTTTGGCTGCGGAGCTCGGCTGTTAGGCCGGGGTCCTCGTGAGTAGGCACGCCGTCCGCTGGATCGGGTGAGGCAGAGCCATCAGTCTTGTAGAGAGCACGGGGCAAACTGGTGGTGGGGGACGATGCGAGGAGAGCCGCAGGCAGGCCAAATTTTTGTAGCTGCGTCGCAAAAAGTGTTGGAGCTTCCCCAGCAACACCGTGTCAACTGTGTCAGAAGCAATGGCATAAAGGTAAAAGACACCAGGAACGGAGGCGACCAGCACCTCGGCGGCCTCATGCCGGCCCCGACACACGGTGGTTTGCGCGTCAATCGCAATGTGTGCCCCGAGTGAAGACCGATGATGCGTGGAACGGAAGGCAGCATAAACGCGCGTGGGCGGTTTCGAGCCCAGCCCTTTGTGGGCACGAAAGCGGTGGAGGCTAAAGCGTGGCGGGTTCGTGAACTCCAGCAATCCACCGATGGGGTTGTTGGTGTCGAGCACTGGGTAAACTGGACTTATTTCCCAACGAAACTTCCGTTTGCGCGCGTAACGGGAAACCCTTAACCGCGCTGCAGTTAAACCCTGTGCAAGCACTCTCTTTTTTTCTCCTAGCGGACATGGGGGTCAGTTCGGGCCCGATCTTCGGGCACTGAAACGAAGGATGCCGCTGGCATCTGTCTGAAAAGAACGACCGCTGGTCGCAGGTAAGGCGAACGACTGGTTCACCCCCCTCCTGCCCCCTACCAGGGGTGTCTCAGTACTTCTGGAGACAAAGGTGAAACTTTCTTCGACCCACAGGGTCGCTGCAGTCTACTACTAGCTACTCTGCGTTGTTGACGGCCTACGGCCTATGTACAGCAAAGCACGCTGTGCTGAAGATGAGATCTCTGCTAGAGATAGAACAAGGAGCGCTGCTCCGGCAGCTCTGCTGCCACAAGCGTGGTCCCAGACCCCGCATACTATACAGGGTGTGGTGGGTGGGATAAAAACTTTTGGATCACAGATCCACTTCAAGCCGAAAGCTGCACGGCAAAGTTTGTCTAGTGTTCACAACACACAAGTGAAAACGCTGTTTTCCTTTTACGACAAAACTTTGTCTACACTTTCGGCGCGAAATAAAACCCATTCACGCACGC